TTCAGGTCATGATCCCAGGGTCCTTTGCTAGAGTCTCACATCGGGCTCCTTGCTCAGCCTGCTTTTCCCTCTGCCTGCAGCTCCCCCTGCTCGTTCTCTCCTCTTTCTCTGTCTCTCTAGCAAATAAATAAATAAAATCTTTAAAGGGTGAGGGGCTAATCTTTTGTCAGATAGCAATTTAGTAAAAGCCATAAGCAAAATCTGTTTAAATTCTTTTTTCCTGTTTCATAGTTACACTTATTACATCCTGATATATTAATAAACAATTCAAAGGCTGAAGAGTAATACTATGGCACAGAAAAAATTATTATTCACAATAACAAAAACCGAGATTTATAATGTAGTATCTTGAAGAGTTGGTGATATAGTGACCTAACACAACCATTTACAAAAGTGAATTTTAACAACCATAATTTTAGCATGGGTTGATGAGTTTCATTATGACATTACTGGGGTTGACAGATGATGGAAGTTTGCCTACACTGTAGATCTCATCTAAAATAAAAGCCTGGGGAAAATATTTTCACAAATGCCAAATCATGTATAAGTGTTTTACACATTTATACAGTATGACTACAACCTAAAACCTAACAAGGTTTTGGAGCTCTATGATTTTCTTAATAAGAGAGTCACAAAATGTTAGATATGTTTTTATGTTTAAGTTGTGATTCACTATAGAAGACTGTCACTAGTATAACTTAACATTATGGTTATTAGAAGTTAGTGAAAGCTCAGTTTACCAAAATGTAACTAATATTAAAAATGTCTGCACTGGCAAGAACACTTTATGTATGATGCTCTATTTCCTATTAAAGCTCAGTACAAAAACATTTCATATGTTAATTACTGTTGGAAGTCAAGCAAGTCCTAGAATATTGGGCATATCTGCGAGAGGCACAGAAGACAAGTATTTTCAAATCTAGCTATTATTCAATGTATATTACACGTAAGGCAAGCAAAAATGTTAATGGACCATATATAGACCATATGAAAAGTCTACACACCATTATAGACTCAATAATGAAATGTTTACTTCTTCTATTCTGAACCGAAGTAAAAAATCTTTAAATCTTAATGAGAGGCAGATATGTAATAGAAAGAATGCAGAACTATAACTTAACACAACTGGCTTTGGGGCGCCATACAGCACTGTTGCCGACTTGATGTGTGATTGAGTTTTTTTCATGAGTAAGGAAAAAATTGGACTATATAATCCCCAAGAGTTTTGTTTCTGTTTTTGTTTTTTACTTTCTGTGATGCCAAGAGTAGAGGCTTTATGTAAATAGACAAAGGCCAATTTTTGAGCAGGAAATAAAAATATGACAGAACTTAGAAGGCAGATAACCTCAAAACTAAAGAAAAACAACAAAAAAGAAAACACAAACAAAAAAACTACACAATGACATTGTGCCCAGACTTATGTTATAGAATTTCAGGTCATATTGTTCAGAGAGAGAGATGATACTAAGGCTAATCACTGAAATTACTGTGGATTTGCGGCAAAGAAGTAAAACTCTCACTTTTTGAAGATGATATGATACTTTATGTGGAAAACCCAAAAGACTCCACCCCAAAACTGCTAGAACTCATACAGGAATTCAGTAAAGTGGCAGGATATAAAAT